AGGGGGTCATCACCCCCCCACCCCCTTTCCCAGTCAGCAGCTGGACTCTGCCAGGGGCCCCAAGCCCCAGGGTTCTGGCCTGGGGTGCAGACCCAGGTCCCCCACCAAACCAAGGTCAGCCACAGTCGCATCTAGACTTCAGCTCCACAGCTTAGGGGGTATCAGCAGCATCCCTCTAAGCTGCGCACAATAAAAGATCATGCTGTGCAATAACTTTTTAACGCCGCAGCACACAAAGGTGTACTGATGGGGGGAGAGGGTGCGGCAGTAGGGGGCCTGGGGTGGGGGGATGCCCAGTGCTGTAGCAAGGGGGCACCAATACTCCCCCTGCCACCACTGCCGGATTCGCATCCGGCCGCTCGCCCTCCACCCCAACTTGGCCACAGGCTGCTGCAGGAGGGGGGAGGGTTGGGCACACTGAGATACCCGTGCACTCCCAGCCAGGATTGCTCATGGATCGCTAAACCTTAGAGGGAACATTGGCTACACATTCAATTTATTTAATGAGCCATACAAACCAGCCATAAAAGTGTTCTACATTATATGCTCTGTATTACATAGAACATTTTTATGGCTGGTTTGCCATTTTATGTCATCTTACATTGGGTGCATGTACCCTCGCTATTTATGCTGCGATTAATGTGTTAATTGTAGTGTAAATGTAATGTGTAGAGGGGACTATCTACTGCAGTTTTTGAGAAGTTGTTCCCACATACCCCCAGTTGGGCCATGTCCTATTCACAGGATTATTTCATTATGTCAGCTAGTTTTCTGTAGGTTTCACCATCCTTCCCGGGACTAAAAGCAGTGCCCTCCTTCCTCTTCAAACCCCAAAAGGTTAACACAAGCTATCCTTGCAGCAACTATGTCAGTACTTTGAAACCTTATGACAACAACAGGAGATGGAAAAATGGGAGCGGCAGAAACAGCGTGTCGTGCATCGAACCAAGAACCACCCACCTCGCACAGAAACATGTGCCTGAGCTGCAACAGTCTGTCGCCTCCAGATCAGTCTCATCAGCCCTCTTCAGATTCATATAATCATGGAAGGCAATCATCCTTGACGGTGAGGGATTGCTGATGATGAACACAATCTATTATGCTAGTGATTCTCAACTGGGGCAACAGGAAATCCTTTTAAGGGAGCTACAGGGTGCTGCATAATATTAGCACTGCTAGGTGTACAAACACCTACACACGTTTCACAAGATAAACCCGGAGATTTCAACTAGGAATCCACTGTGACTAAACCATTCTGACCTGCTGTGGGCTATTGCAGTTGTTTGCAACAGAAGAATCGCTCTATTCTATTTCCGTAGTCAACAAATGAGTGAAAGCAAAGAGCTGGCATTTTCTGAAGGGCGGCTGGAGTCTCATGAGGGGGTTCATGAGTCTAAAAAAAGGCCGAGAGGCATTGCATTTCCTGCCCATGGAGAACCACTGCATCATGCAGACTTGCAGGCTGCAGTAAAGGGGCATGACAGCAACTTTCTTTTCTGTTGGGACTGGAGAGCGAATGCTATGCGTCCTGCCATGCGGTTATGAGGCACTAAGTGCTGCACAGACTCACAGCAGGAGACAATCTCTGCCCTGGGAGCTTCCAGTCTAAATAAACCCCAAGCCCAAGTGATGGAAGGCAGCACTGACAGGCTGAGCAACTTGCCCAAGGTCATTCTCAGGCGCTGATCCCACTGCTCTCCATTCCCCTTGTGCCCACCCACCCGAAAGCTGCGATCTACAGCTCTGGAGCTGGGGACATTTGAATTCACTTTGTGGGTACAAATCTCCGAGGCCGGTTTGTCTGTTGCAGCCCCACCTCTACCAGGGGTGGGTCTCTCTGCCATCTGCACCGATGAACAAGGCAAACCCATTTCCGGGAATGCCATGCTGTAGGTTACAGGGCTCTGGACTCTTATCACCACTTGGCCTTCGAAAGGATGATGCACCTGGTTCCTTTGCAGAAAGGAGGATCACAGCCCTGTTGCACTTCTCCATCAGGTCTGCCTAGAAGCCCTGCTTAATTATGGCTTCCCAAGGTGGCAAGCCCGGGGTGCCATCTCCAGT